AAAGTTGAAGTAAGTCGCATTAAGTGGCATTGTTGCATTAAGTGGCATTGTTGAATTTAGTGGGAGACAACATTGGTTCATTAGTATATCAAGTGCTGCACTGGTGCTGGAGGAACATCCAATTGTTACCAGCAGAAGGTGTGATCTACTAGTCACAAAAGATACCTGACGTCTTGGTGCGCAGAAAAACTGCTAAAGCCCCAAATGCACAGGAAAGGAAGGAAAAACTCCCTTAAAATGCTCCCAAACCAGATGATGTTACATATATTCTGGCTCACCATGTTGATCAGTATGCGCTAAAGTTCAACTTGACATGAAAACATGACTGGAAACACCGCTAAGAAAGAGGAAATCAGTACATTGGTGGAGAGCATGATGAGGAGCCGCCAGTTAGTAGCGCTGCACTCTATAACATTACTCAGGTCAATACAACAATCAACAGCCACACAGTAGCCACAGCTGTTTGACAATGCCTGCCACTTGCAGACAATGCTTTACCAGGTCAATACAACAATCAACAGCCACACAGTAGCCACAGCTGTTTGACAATGCCTGCCACTTGCAGACAATACTTTATTTGGTCAATACAAAAATCAACAGCCACACAGTAGCCACAGCTGTTTGACAATGCCTGCCACTTGCAGACAATGCTTTACCAGGTCAATACAACAATCAACAGCCACACAGTAGCCACAGCTGTTTGACAATGCCAGCCACTTGCAGACAATGCTTTACCAGGTCAATACAACAATCAACAGCCACACAGTAGCCACAGCTGTTTGACAATGCCTGCCACTTGCAGACAATTGCATGCCTGAATTTCCCTGGACCACAGATCACACACCTAGAAAATCACACACCTAGAAAATCACACAACTAGAAAAGTCCAGGTGTGCCTTTTTCCACACGCCTGTGATTTTCAAAGCAGAAGGACTTCAAGTCAAAAACAGTCAACAGCAATTTAGCACCCACAGCTGTTTTGACAGGGATCATGTTTCAAACAGTCAATACCAGCAACTTACTAACTATGACAGCTCTTTAACGAGTCAATAACAGTCAGCAAATATTCATTATCAACAACTGTTCTACGGGTCACAGTTGGTCAAGTCATTCTCATGGCCAGTCACTTAAGCAGTCAAAATGGGTCAATAATTTAGTTCTATGCATAGAATTCCATCGGGTCAAAAAACGGTCACCAGACTGATTTTGACCCGAGTAACAGCATGGCTGAGTATGCATGTTTGCATCGGAGGGTTCTAATGGGTCAATTACATAAGTTTATGGATGTTGCATATACAGCGTGTCCCCAAAAAAATGTCCCTCTGATAGACTGCTAAATTAATTCCACAATCAAGTATTATTCTCAATTTAGTGTTCAGATTAAGAAAGCCCATTTAATTTTGTAACTTTTGTGAAAATTTCATTGGTCTCGCTTCATTGGTTTTGAATACACAGTCTATTATGTAACAGCAGTGCTTTTCAGCCCATTCCAAGTTTGCAGGTGGAAGGACGTGCAGGAGGACAATAAAGGTTTACAAGCTGGACATTGAAGAACAAACCATAAGTGGAACACACCCTGTGAAAGCAAACACGACCAGTGGAACTGAACTTTGATTAGTTTTCATTTAAAAAAAAGTAAATGGACTTGACTTTAGTTACTTAATAACAAAAACAAGAACACAGTTGTTGAAATAAAAGTGAAGCATGGAATAAGGTATGGTATGTCTGTAGTGTGCATTTCTTTTTATCAAACTTGCAATGCGCTGGAAAGCACTGCTGTTACATAAAAGCCTGTGTATTCAAAACCAATGAAGCGAGACCTTTGAAATTTTCACAGGAACTACAAAATTAAGTGGGCTTTCTAAATATGTAAACTTAATTGAGTATAAAACTTGATTTTGGTAATTATTCTGTGGTCTAGGAGAGGGGCATTATTTTGGGACACCCTGTAAAGGTAAAAGATGAGCTAGTATTTTTTCTCTTTTTTTCACTGCTAGGAAAAGGGTGCTTAGGACAAATTCAGTTTCTAATAGGCACTTCCAGTTACATTATTAAGCCATTTTACACTGTTGTCAAACGAGAATATCAGTTTTCAAAATGGCTTCAAATTTATGATGTGATTAGGGTAATGTATAAACAGGGAGAGACATTTTGTGACAAATGTCCAGTCTGTATGTACGTTTAAATCCTCATTATAAAATATCAAATAATTCTTCACAATGACTCTGAGTTTTTTAGGTTTTGACTGATAGCATTCCTCCAGGGTACATCTCCACAATGACTGAGTTTTCTAGGTTTTGACTGGGTTATCATTATTAAGAAATATCTGAAAGGTAGAGCAAGAGGTGGGGGGGGGGAAGAAATGTTCGAATTAACCCCACAAATCAGTGCCCCACTACCAGCACTCTTTATTTGTGGGAGAACATAGAAGAGCGCCAGATCACCCATTTTGATTACTTGTTTCTGCTTATTCTTTAGGTACATGTAACTAAAAACTAACCTCAAGAATCAGTAATGGGTAGCCCAGCAAGCAGGTCATCCGTTCATCTGTCGGTCCTCCTCCCTGCTTCCGGTTCCTCGGGTTTCTGTTTGATGAGGCTGTCGGAGCCCTGACAATGACTTGAGGCAGGCTCATCCTCATCTCAGTAGAGCAATTCCCTCATCAGTCAGTGGTCCTCACTTTGCTGAAGGGATTCAAATAAAGAAAGGAAACATTTGAATTATTGAGCTGTATTCGTGCCAGGGCTCGAAAGTGAAAGAAAACATTGAATTAACCCCACAAAGCAAAGCCCTGCTACCAGAACTCATTTGTGGATAAACATAATAACAGAGTCAGATCGCCCTATAGGCCTATACACAGCCTAAAAGCAGAACAGGAAGGGGACAGGCCTCATTTATCCCAGGACAAACCAATAACACCAGTAAATAAAGATGTGCTTCAAACCATGTTACACGGCTATGATGCCATTAAGTACAAATTCTTAATTCATGGTTTTACAATTGGTTTTTAGGTTTTACAGGCAATCAAAAATTTAGGACATCAACAAATTTAAAATCTGCTCTTCAAAATCCAAAAGTGGTTTCTGAAAAACTAGGGTTAGAACTTAGACAAGGTAGGCGCGCAGGGCCGTTCCAAGACTTGCCACTTGATAATTTTTGCGTTAGCTCGATTGGTTTAGTTCCTAAAAGACAGCCTGGTTCATTTTGAATAATTCATCATTTGTCTCATCCTAAACATGGTTCCGTAAACGATGGAATACCAGATTGGAACACAACAGTCAAGTATGCGTCAACCGATGACGCAATAAAAATTTTGAAGAAAGTGGGCCCAGGATGTGTGCCATCTAAACTAGATATAAAGTGTTAACCATTTATTCTGGAATAGTCCATATTCTGGATGATTTTGTTATCATTTCAACATCTCATCAACAGGGTGCGCATAATTTGGTCGGATTTCAAACACTGAGTAATAAGCTGGGTATTCCCCTTGCACCTGAGAAAACTGAAGGGCCTACAACCTGGCTAACATTTGCAAGGATCGAACTAGATACAATACGGTAGCAATGGCCGCGCGGTTACCGCTGGACAAATTACAAAAAGCCATCGTTAAAATAATCAAAATCTATTATGTACACCATTTCATACTAACATTTCAAAGACATACACAATCAGTTTTTACTGAAATTTTCGAAATGAAAAGTATAGCATTTGAGAACGAGTTTAATGCAAACTTTGAATACATATTTTGATAGGAAATCAAGCACTGTATATTTTTGCATGTTAAAATACCACCCGAGGAATCATATTTCTTCATATACAGGTCTCTTTTTGTTTCTAAAATAAAACTCACCACAAGAATTCCAAAGAGCATTCACGGTAGTGGTCACAAGGCCGCGGGTTGATGGATCTGGTCAAGTCCGTAGCTCGGCACCTCGGGTCAAGGCATGGTCGATGACTCGGGCCAGTCCGTAGGACGACAACCCGGTGCAAGGCCGTGGGCCGACGACTCGAGCAAGTCCGTGGGACGACACCCCGGCGAAAGGCTGTGAGCCGATGGACGACTCGGGCCCGTTCCGGGGGCCGGCACCTCGGGGGTTTGCCGTGGGCCGCCGACTCGGGCCAATTCCGTGGGCCGCCACTTACTCGGAGCATGGCCGTTGGCTAAAGACTCAGGCCACTTCCGTGGGTCCGCACCATTGGGTCAAGGCCTTGGGGTCGTCAACTCGGGTCAAGTGTTCAAGTGTTCAAGCGCTCAATCCAATCGAGATCCAGGCCTTAGAGTCTGCTGAAAACACTGCTAATATCAACCTCTCAAGAAGCGTAGTCACGGTGGAGTCCATTCATGAGGTGGGATGACGTTCCACACGGTAAATAAAGTTGTTCACTGTTGAAGAGTGAGAAAAAGATCCATTAATGGGGGGCGGTGTGGATTCAGAATATGTTTGAGTTAAAAGAAGAACGGAACGAACAAAATTCATCTGGAACACAATTTAAGTCAGTTAACGGTTGCAATGCATATGAACAGGATGCATAAAGAACACGGCAGTTTCACGCATAAAAAAGTACGCCCTCTGTTGGCGAGATGGAGTTAGTGGTAATACCACGTGACAACCTAGCGCGATGTAAATAAACATTACGCGCAGCGATCCCTTTGTTTCGTTGGTGGATTTAAATACCCCGCGAAAGATATAAAGATTGATTGGTTTATTAAAATGAATATGCAACAGATTACCAAATAAGGCTCTACAAACATCAATGAAGCTATGTACGGTCGACAGTTGCCATATAGCGTGCACAAATTCTGATAATGTGTGTTTTTTATGCAGCGTGTGACTTGTGACCTGGTACGATTAAGCGTTTTCGTGCCGTCATTTCCACTTCGAGAAAACATCATTTTTAAAGTAAAATGCAGTTTTGTGACGCATACTTGGTCAATCTATCAATAAATGGGTTATCTAGGTTGACATTGATATGGACGAAAGGTTTGGGTTGACATGCTTTCGTGAGATTTTAGCCAATACTGAGGGTGAATAAAACAGGAATTCGTCAAGTCGCGACGTACGAAGTGTACATGCAGTGTCATGGCGTGACGAGTGGGGACCTTCGTGGCCATGTTTTGGCATGATTTCGGAGATTCAGATGGAAATCTCAAAGGTAAGCCTACAGATCATGTATTTACTCTGCTCAGAAGATGTAGTTTTTGTAGTTTCTCCTTGTTTCTAGCCTGCGACACAAGGATTTTGTGTACGTACGCCGCGCCATGACAGGAAGTCATTACAGTAATGTCGTACATGAAACAGTCGTAGCGTAGGCGCCTTGAGCTATCCCACAGCACGCACTTTTGGACGACGCAACGACTCGTGTATGTAGAAGACTTTCATCTAAGAAATATTTTTTTCGTATTGCTACAAACATAAGGTCTATAGCTGTCCCTAGGCGTACCTCACGATACGTCAGACGATCAGACGATCCTCGTAGAGAAAGGGGGTTTAAACCGTTCGGAAAGTGCCTTTAAATGAGCTTGACGACCAGTTATAAAGATCCAATCATTGCCAAGCTCGGCACGAGGGGATACAAATGTTTACAGACACAAAGATGGCAACAAGTAAAACGACAGACGAACGAAAATCTTTTTTGCCTGGAATTGAATTATTTATTTTAGTTGAAGGTATAATATTATTATCGGAGCTATGAGTATAACTTCCATTAGAAGAATACGCTCTTTTTTTTTTCCTTTTTTTTTTATAAATTTATTTATTATTTTTTTAAAGGAAATTGGGGAAGACTAATCAGCATGGCTAGTAGGATATTTTTTAGAAGGACATCTCAAAGGTAAGCCTACAGATTATGTATTTACTCTGCTCAGAAGATGTAGTTTTTGTAGTTTCTCCTTGTTTTTAGCCTGCGACACAAGGATTTTGTGTACGTACGCCGCGCCATGACAGGAAGTCATTACAGTAATGTCGTACATGAAACAGTCGTTGCGTAGGCGCCTTGAGCTATCCCACAGCACGCACTTTTGGACGACGCAACGACTCGTGTATGTACAAGACTTTCATCTAAGAAATATTTCTGCCCAGTGTGCCTTGCTAGTTGCAATTACGTATTCGTAATAAATAATCATAATGCATTCCTTAATCCTAACAGTCCTGAATCCTCCAATTTCAATATGATTTTTACATTTCATGTATAGTCAGCGTGGTCAGGATTTGCTGGCATGCATCATGCAGGAACATGATGATGGAGGAATGGAGGTCATTCTTTGCAGGCAGGAGCCTGACATTGCTCATTTGATTAATGTTCTTGAAAACTTCTCAAGGAAACTGTGTACTGTATGTTCTAAATGCGTAAACAAAGGATTTGACATGTAGGCCCTACATGTAGGTTACATTGCCAGGGCCGTCATTGGGCTTTTCTTTTTCGCCCTCAGTCATATAATTGTAGAGTAGTTTTTCCATTAATTTCAAATTTGACCTGGGACTAAAATGACTTGAGACTTAGTTGACATTGGACCGACTTTATACATTTGTACCTGGGACCAAGTTGACCTGGAACTGAGTTGGCCATGCTGTCTCAGACGGTCAGACCCCGTCAGTTAGGGACCGAGTCGGTAACAGTCTTGTGGTTGTTGGGTACCGAGTTTACTCCAAACCCATGTAATGCATGCTCTTGTTCTTGTTGTGTACAAACACAAAAATTAACGTAACTGTACAAGAACTTGAATGTGTACTTGAATTTGCCATCTAGACCTATTGGTTGTCTCTCGGACGCTGTGGAGGAGGTTGGCCTACATTTCTTCTTTTGCGGAGTGTACGGCATTCCACCATGACACGCAGATGACGTACCCTGCCATGACAAAGGATACCTTCAGAAAATTTGACAACTTTCATCGGTGAGCATCTTGATATTATTTTACTTAGAAATTGATCATGGCATGTATGTACATGCATGTACATACATCATGTACATGTACAAGTACATGTTTACATGTATGTCTGTGCCTATAGAAAAAGATAAAATATGAAACTTTCTTATCTTCTATGGTTTTTAACACTCATATTCAATGCAAGAAAAATCCCAGCAAAGTTGTTTAAGATAAGGCACAGACAAAATCTTGAAAATAACCTGGCAATATTTTTCAACAGAGACTTTTGAGACGCTTCCTTTTACCTGTCCTTTTCATTTTTTTTACATCCCATTTAACCTAATGTGCACATGTTCAAATTGACGTCAACACCAGAAAAGGACTGGTGTATTTGCTGCCACCATGCATCTCAAAGTATCCCATTAACTTTGTTCCATTTGTTATATTCTTGTTGTGCTTTCAGGTTTTGAAGAGTTTCTTCCTATTTCTGGATTGAAGATGGCAACGACATGCATGGCCGCGTATAATGGACGAGCTTTGGATTCCTCCACATCTGATCTGTACTACCCACCCATTGCGATTGAACTCCGTATCAGTTCCTGACCATGCCATGACATGTCCATGTTCATTCAAACAGCCCAACCCCCACTCTGAACCTTTCTAAATAGTCCATGGTGTGGAGTACATGTACATGTATGTTTAGTGTGATCTGAATTGGGAGTGGTAGGTGTAGTCTGTTCGCTGCCTCCCTGTCCCAGATGCTTGAATAACATAGTTGACGTAAACATTTCATATATAAATGAATATCTTACTGCCGGGGGGGGGGGGGGGGGGGGGGGGGGGGGGGGGGGGTTTTTGAGAGAATTGAGATAGTTTGGGAATTTAGGAGATAACTGACATCCCCCATAGTGCGACACTTTTAGAGCGCACCCATGCATTTTCGGTTTCACGAACTGACACTGATCTTAATTTTACCAATTAAATCGCTTTTTAATGAAAAATTTGTACATGTATAATCGCACAAGTACACGGATAGATGTATTGCCGCATCATGCTTGGGTGTCAGTTCGTGAAAACAAAAATGTACGGGGTGCGCTCTAAAAGTGCCGCACTGTGGCGGATGTCAGTTCGTAAAACCCAAAATATCCCGGTTCTGTAAACACGCGCTCGTACAGTGCACACACGGATGCGAGAGTGTCGTTCGTAGTGACGGTGACAATCTGTACCTGATTTCACGACACTTATTGTAACCTACGATGCATCGTTGTATCCCTAGGATGACGCATCCTGTGATTCATTTCACAAAATGTGCTGTAAGTGCGACACGTCGTAGTGTATTCAAAGGACAAAAGGTGGCTACATGTACATGTACATGTATTTTCATGTTATGTATTTATTCAAAGAACAGTAAATAGTCGTCGAAAAGTCAACAAAGAGTCGTCGATTGTACTTGTGAAAACTTTTCTAAAATATTTAACAAAATTGACGATGTATGATGCATTCACACTGGAAAAGAACTTCACAGTGGACTGTGTTTGCATCAAATTGTGAAGTGATGTGCTTTGTAAATCTGGTGCAGGTCCGATCCAGGTACGTGTACACGTACGTATGTGAAATTTTAATGAAGCGAAAATTTGAAACCTGAAATTGCCATCACCACCACTCATGAAATAGTGCAGTTGAACTGCAAGCTCCATTCTCCAACAAAATATTTAATAATAAATAAATATAAAAAAAGCCTTTACTGTCTTCAGGTGTGGGGGTATACTTAAATCCATTTGACCTTTCATAAAGTTGAATTTTTGAATCAATTTCTTGAATCAACTGCAACTACCCTATTTAATTTTTCAGACTTTTCATAGTTTTATCACTTGCCAAACCTGATCTCACTGGTTCAGTTCATGCCTGCATTACATGTGCACTTTATTTACTTGTAAAATATGGCTGTTGTGAAGTTTCACTTCTGTAAATGAAACTTTTTAAATGATATGGATTGGTTGTGAAATAAAGAATGCGTTTATTGCCAAACAAAAACCTATTTGTTATTGTTTTGTTTATAAAGCTATAGATCCAATTAATTGTCGGCAACTTCCCCCAGAATATTAAGAGGATAGAGTGTCTCATACTGATGGCAAATTCATGCTTGGTTTTGGATTGTGCTGCTTTAATATGCTGTACAACACTCGCTCACTCACTCACTGTACAACACTAAACATTTGTGAATTTCGGACTGTGTGTTTATTTTGTCCAAAGTGAGTGTTTTCATCTAAAGACAGATGGTTCTTTATTTCTATGTAATCTGTTTTGCATTTTATGTATTTTTAAATTTTATTCAATGTCTTGCGATTGTCCGTAAAATGCGATGGTTTTACGTACACATATGTACATGTGTACACGTTGTACGGCGCTTTTGTGTACACAACACACGCGGCGCTAGGCCAGTTGGTACCCACGCGCCAGTTTGCATGTATTAGTGGGATACTAGATCATGAACCAGCGATGCAGCAGCCCGAATTCACAGCGAAGCTTTGGAATTGTAGGCTGACTTTCAACGTCTATATTTTATTTTAAAATGTCGACCCGACCAAGAAAAAGTATGATTTGGCTATTTATTTCTTCTGAAAAACTGCGTTTCCCTTTTTCTTTAAGGGCTTTTAAAAGTCTTCGATACGCGAATAAATTCATCCCGCATTGCAAAAATGTTGGCGAAAATTCCCTTAAAACACACCTTGGCATATAAATTATACCCCTTTCTCATTTATTTCCTAAAGAAAACATCATATCCCGTCATTGCCTGTCATTTATGATAATAAAACGTATTTCTAAAGTGTCTAATTTTGACATTATTTGGGACGAAACATCGATGTATTTTTTCTGTATGTGGACAGCGCCATGTTGTGTGACGTCACCGGCATCATTGGAGTTCACAAATACAGAACTAACGCATTACAGAACCTTTGTGTGTGTGCGCGCTATGCATGTGGAACTGCCGTGGGGGCCAGATTCACAGAATTTTCCTTAATAACTCCTATGAACATCTATGGAAATTGACAGCATGCAAGGTTTGGACCCATTCATGGATTCCCAAATTGCAAACCAAGTACAAATTAGAAGCATGGGGGAGGAGCCAATTCACAGAAATTTTCAACAATGTGTCACTTGACACGCAAGAAGGTATGCGAGAAGGTTGTCATTCATTTGTGGCTTCCCAAATTGTAACAACGCATTGGGGGATTTCCAAAAATTTCCAAAACTGTGTCACATGACAAATCTTTGGAAATGATCTTCTTTTGTTTTCTTCAAATTGAGAGCATGGCAGAAAGTTGTCAACCATTCGAGGATTCCCCAATTGTAAACTAAGTACCGGTACCAATTGGAACGCATTCGGGAGGTGGCAGATTCACAGAAATTTCCAAAAATGTGTCACTTGACACATCTTTGGAAAGGATCTTATTTTCTTAAAATTCTGCAAATTGACAGCATGCCAGAAGGTTGTCAATCATTCGTGAATTAAGTACAAATTAGAACACATAGGGGAGTAGAAGGATTCACAGAAATTTCCAAAAATGTGTCACTTGACACACGTTTGGAAACCGATAGCATGCGAGAAGGTTGTCACTCATTTGTAAATCCCCCGAATGCAAACCGAGTACAAATTAGAGCACATGGGGAGATTTACAGAAATTTCCAAAAATGTGTCGCTCGACACATTTGGGGGGGGGGCAATTAGAACACATGGGGGGGGGGGGGCAGATCAACAGAAATTTCCACAAATGTGCCTCTTGACACATGTTTGGAAATTGACGTCATGCAAGGTTGTCACTCATTCGTGGATCCCCCAATTGCAAACCAATTACAAATTAGAATGCATGGGGGAAGGGCGGATTTACAGAAATTTCAAAAAATGTGTCACTTGACAAACGTTTGGAAATTGGCAGCATGGGAGAAGGTTGTCACCCATTTGTGCATTCCCCAATATGTCTTGTAAAATGACGTCATTTCCTACAGACCAGCCGCGTGCATCAACATACATACTGAGCATCCAATTGCATAAGGGCATCGGCCGCGTCGAAATTCGAAAAACATTTCAGGCAATAAGCGCACATGTTTGGAACATTTTCAACACTGCGCAATGCATGATATATTGCATAAAATACGCAGTTGCAGCTCTCCTACAGATTTGGACGTCATTGAGCAAGCCCTATTGCAAACCAAGTACAAATAGCAATGCATGGGGGGGACCAATTCACAGACATTTCCAAAAATGTGTCACTTGACACATGTTTGGAAATAGTAATAATAATAATAATAATGAACATTTATAAGGCGCCGATATCCGCCAAGCAAGACGCTCATGGCGCACAATACATACAAAACAATTACAGTATAAATTAAGTTAAATTTGAATAACAGAAATTAGTGACAGGAGTAATAAACATCAACTCATTAAACACAAAAACGTGAGGTAAACATATGAGTTTTCACAGAAGATTTAAATACAGACAATGATAATGACTGGCAAATTTCAAGGGGTAGATTGTTCCAGAGTTCGGGAGCGGTGATTGAGAAAGACCGGTTTCCCCAAGAGTGATTGGTGCAAGGAACAGTAAGCTGTAGCGCTCCAGCCGAACGAAGACTACGTGACGGCTGATATTTCGAGATAATGTCCGTTATGTAGTCCGGTGAAGTTCCTTGTAGTGACTTGAAAGCGATGTGGGGGTCAAAAGTGACACCTAGGTTGCGACACTTGGTGGAAGGATGGATGTGGCAATCTCCAATCCTAATGCTGGTGATATTGAACTTGGCGAGTTGTTGTTTTGAGCCACACAGGATAAATTCAGACTTGTTGTCATTCAATTTGAGACTGTTTGTCATCATCCATGTCTTGATCTCATCAATGAAAGCCTCAAGATTCTCCAGGGCAGACACAGCATTGGTTTGAGATGGATTGAAGGATTGATACAGCTGTATGCCATCAGCATAGCAGTGATATTGAAGGTTGTGTTTCTGGATGATCTGGCCGAGTGGTAAAATGTAGATGGTGAATAACATGGGACCGCCAACAGATCCCTGAGGAACACCACAGTCAAGGGAGGCAGGAGCAGATAATACTCCACTGATGTTAACAGACTGTTGCCGGTCTTCAAGGTATGAGTCAAACCACTGCAAGGCTGCATCGTGCACTCCCAAAGAGTGCAAGCGACTGATCAGGATGGCGTGATCTATGGTGTCAAATGCTGATGACAGATCGAGAAGCACAAACGCCATTACTTTGCCAACATCCATCTGTCGTAGGATGTGGTCGCGGACAGATGAACAAGTAATGTTTCTACATTATGTTTCTGACGATTTGCAGATTGGCGACTATCCAATAGATCATTATTCCGTAAATGCATCGACAGCCTGGAGATAGAAACATGCTCAAGTAACTTTGAGATGTACGGCAAGTTGGAAACTGGGCGGTAGTTTTGGAGTTCTTTAACAATGCTGGACACACGTGGGCAACTTTGAAAACAGAAGAAACAACACTGCATTGCAGGCTGCGGTTGATAATCGTGGTGATGGCAGGAACGATGGATTCAGAACATTGCTTAAGGAGCCAGGTTGGTATAGGGTTCAAGTCACATGATTTGGCTGGGGATTTGAAGATGACAGTGCAAACCTCATCTTGAGAGGCGGAACAGAGACTGGTCATGCAGTGTCTCATCTTGAGCAAGGGCGGAAATCGCTCCTTGAACGTGGGGGGGACAGGTTTTTTTTTCTTCCCGAAATTATATTACTCTCCAAAAGTCACAGGCTGAACGGACAACTTTCCACTCGTAAT